CGGCAAATGGAGAAAAGCGACATCCATTTAGTATCAGTTGAAGAAAGTCTGATCAACAGTGCTGGAGTCGAATTTTCCACAGAGCAAACAAAATATTCTGGCAAACCATGCGAGATAAAAAGAACGTCAGTCGAAGAGTTTTGAAAAACAAATTCGGAGTCTTCTTACCATGGAAAAGGATACACTTCTGCAATGGAGAGTACTTTGGAATACTTATTATTCCCGAGGAAGTGTAACGAGATCGCCTGAAGAGCATCAGGGAACAGAAATTAATTTTACAATAGATGAATTCGCAGAAGTTATAAAAAGCTTGAAAATAAAAGGGTTGCTGGAATCTATAAAATCCGCCCTGCGAAATTTAAAAACTTAGCTGAACAAGATATGCTTGTCAAACTACAATTACTACGAAGAATCGGGGTACATCAACAGACTGGAGAATGCTGGTAATAATACCTATGTTCAAGAAGGGAGATCATGAGGGTTTTCCGATTATCAAAATATTACCGTACTGAGCCTCGCCGGAAAGGTCTATACAAAGATGTTGAGAAAGAGATGCTATGAAATATTATGAAAACAGCTTTGGAAAGCTTGAGTGACAGTACCGTTTGTTCCATTAAATCTTTCGAATAAGCTGGCTGATTACATCGCACATGTCACTCGAAGTAAATGAGCTCATACATTCGTCCCAGTCGGCGTTTGTTAGCGAATAAGAGTAACAAATCATCAGTGAATAGCCCGATGGAAAGGTATATCCCAAGTAGAAAGAATGGACATGATGCCAGAATTCTCTACTTTCCAGTTCATCACAGCTGCTAGAAGTTCCTCAACCCTTTTGTCCAATCTTCACATTTTTCCCGATGTAGATCATGCCGCAGTCATCACACTCGATTTCATAAACTACGTTTATCCCTTTCGTTCTCCTCGGCTGATGAAGTTCCCGATAGAACTGCGATACAAATGAACTACTCATTCTGAGAGGATTCTACCACCGGTTTTGTATTTTCGAGATCGTTCTGTCAGCTATTGCAAAACCTGAAATTCACCCTGCCACCGTCATTTTAACTAAGTGTGGCAGTCCTTCCTTCTGAAATAGTATCAGGATACTTGAAAACTTATGATATGCATACGTTCATATGCCACCAGGTGTCGAAGATAAGTTTTTGCCATCTGATTCGGAGAAAATCACTGTTTCTTCCATGTTTGACATTTCTGCGCTTTCTTGAGAATTTAGACTACTTCGTTCGTGCGTTGGTAATCATACTGAAAACTGAAAAATGCACAAACAGTTTGCTTATGCGCAACGTAAACGAATAAGTTGGCCAATGGGGCGATTGAACAATACCGGCATTTCGGTTAGTTCTCACAGCCTTCTTCAGGGTAGGTTTCTGCAGTTGATTGTGTGGCCCGCAGCTGTTGTGGCGTCTGGATCCGAAGCGTTGGTACTGTTCAATCGCATAATTGACCAGCTTGTTCGTTTGCGTTGTGCATAAATAAATCGTTTTATGCATTTTTCAGTTTTCTTGTAAAGTTGACATTTATGCCATAATGGAAACCGAGAAAAATAAATGAATCCGATTATTGATTAATGATATTGGTTATTCCACAGTTAATGAATAAGAGCTTTAACTTCGAAGTTTAAAGGCGACCTCACAGGCAATGCGGCATTACGCCCCAGGAATGTATGGATACTAATCAAACGTACGTTGTAACGTTTCAAGAGTCAAAATCTTGAGAAAATGCTCTAGCTCTGCTTTAGATTCCGCTATCGCTGAACTGCATGCAGCAAATGTTGGCTTACACGCAAAATGATGGGTAAATAACAGGACCACCGTAAAAAGTGACCATGTCCTCTTCCAAATGCCAGTCATCGCAGTAGATCTAGAGCATAGAAACAGAAGATTCGTCCTGTTAGACAAGTCGGTTGGACATAAACCATACACTCAAGCCCATTAACTTCTTGTGTGGGAGGCGAAACACGACAGGCGTCCTTCAGAAGCCCAGCATGCAGCATGGAGGAACAAAGTAGAGGCAGATATGCTGTCGGAGAAGAATGTGTCCTTCTGCGATGCAGCAACTATTGCTTTATAACAAAAGCGTTGACAAGGTGAGGATACAGCGGACATCACAAACCAGAGACGTTCTGATTATGTAAACGGCTGAAGGTGGTGATGTCAGCAGATGACAACAACTTTGCTAAGCAGTTGTCATAATTCATCTTTAACACTTAGATTAACAATAACTGGTATTCATAGCAGTCAATAAATTTACTAACGAGATTCTTTGAGTAAAAAAGAGTGATGTCGCCCATATAATGCTGAGTCTCATTTGAACCAAGGAGATGCGAAACGAAATCCTCGATCCATAGTATATACTCAGCGATGCATGCTCAATGAAATCCTCGTCATCACCAAAATGTTTGTAGCAGGTAAACTCTGCTATTATTACTGCTCTGCTATCCAACTGGAGTCCAGTACTCTCGCTTCACAGCGGAAACAATAATTTACTCTTTTGAACTGATTTGCTGAGCATCCTTTAACCGATGCACAGTGACGACTGTACTCTGAGTCAGTCGCGAATTACGCAGAGACCATCGCTGTTTAGATCTATCCATTCACATTGCTGATGTTAGTCAGCTGGGTGACATTCGAGACAGATGAAAGGCTCCTTTCACTACAAAAAAAATTGAGTAAGTGCATATTTTGCGTGTTACTTATCCTGTTGATTGTTCAAACTCAAGTATCACCGGATGCTGACCGATTGACTTATTAACGTTTGAAGAGCACAAGAAAAGTCGCTTTCTTGTGTGTCTACCGTCTGCCGTTACAGCAAAGAAAAGGGACTATTTGTTCATAAAGAAATTTATACAGCAGCGCTATGAGGATATGCGAAACAGAACTACAAAAAAAGACTGCCAATGATGAATATCTAGTAAATTTCAAGCTGCATCAGCAGAAACATTTGCAAAGGCAACGAGCCAATTTTTCCGAAGGCAATAAGCCGTGAGAAAATAGGCTGCTTCTGGATCACTGAAAGATTATTTCTGTAGCCCTCTGAATATCTGCGCAGAAGAAAAATTCAGAGGGGCAGTTTCTCTCTCAGTCTCAAAACCCCACGAACAACAGTGCGACTGGCTCATTATTACCATCAAAGAAGAAACTTTCCCATGACCAAAAGCTTAAAATAATCAGCATCTGTACAGTATCAAATTAAAACTATTACTAAACCGGTTGAACTCAGAGAAAAGAGAAAAAAAGTTTAGTTCAAAAGGAGGTTATTCAGTGAATCTGTGTGGGATATGAAGATATAACCGTTTGTAATACATTCTTACAGCCCTTTCTAATCTGACCGCAGCTGGTTGCTGGAGTATAAGAGTCAGGTAGAAGCAGATACTTTCTGTGTATGCAGAAATTAAAATGAAAGTAAAATTTAGGGGCTGCAAGAGGGACTGAATGAGATATGCTAAACATAAACAGAAGTGATGATTTCAGGGACGAGACGAAAGAAATCCGGCTTAAATATTTAATTCAGTTAGCATAATCCTTTACTTACGGGAAAGTAGGGTGAGCATAATTCTGTTTCTGAAAAATGAACATGAGCTACAGTACAAGCATTCTTCCCCCCAGGCTTGCAGTAAATTTAACGCTCTCGCTGGCAGAAGTGCTGTGCAAAGAATTATGGATTATGTTTTTCTTCCTATATCAGTTACTACTCCGTTACCATAACTGCAAATCACGAACTCTGCACTATTCGCCACGCTTTTTCGTAGACTTTCCTCCGTTATGCAGATCATAATTTCAATTTAGAGGATCTGGATGACTGGGACACATAATAAGAACCTCCCAATTAGACCACATCACAGTAACGAAACTGCCATATTAGTACAGAGACAAGAGTGAGGTGGCAGACAGAATTTGCCGAGTGATGACACGACATAAAGCAATGCGATATATAAAAGAATTTGACCGTAGCAAACGACAAAAATATAAGCAAAACGCATAGTCTATATGAACTGGAAGAACACTGGGGGAATTCTAAGAAGCAGAAGGTGCAAAACACAAAATCGCCATCGCTCCATCGTCGCCGTCGGGCAACTGTCGACGTCCGATACCTGGTGAAGGACGAAGGTCACCTGCAAAACCAAATGGCCAGCGAGTACCGTACGGCAACGACAACGAAGCGCGAAGGAAGCATAACCTCAGTACCTCCGTCGCGACCGATTCGTAGATTCAGTTCAAAGCCGTTAATTCCTTGGAAAATATGCAAAGAATGCGCTACGACTCGGTAGTGTTTACTGCTACAGTTCGGCATCGTTTATGCAGCCGCTGAACGGCGGCGGCGCCGGCGCCGGTTGCCGAACATTCGACCAGGGACACCTTCTACGCCCTGTATCGGTTCGTACGCTGAGTTTCACTTAATGGTCATATGAACTTGAGTCACGACGTATCGTACCTCATTCTGCGGGCCTGTTCGCATGCCGTATTG